GTGAGACGAAGAGCGCGTGGTGAGAAAGCTTGGTCGATGGGTGTGGATACCGCTGGAGGTACGGCAACGACGCGAACCGGGCCGGGACGTTGGCGAGGTACCCCGTTTGGTTACAATTTGCAAACGGTGAGCACGGCGTGAGCTCGACGGCGTCGGCGAGGCGCTGGACGATGGCCAAGTCTTCCGGTAGTCCTTCTTGATACGATGCGATCGCCACGAGGAGGTCGGGCGACCGGAGCACGGGCGAGGCCATCCTGGTCAATTGGCAAGTGGCGCTTCGCTTTGTGTTTCGACGCGAACGCAGAGTGATGGTTGTGCTGTTGATTGTCACTCTGTTGCGTTTCACCGAATGAATATCCGGATAATGTCGTTGGCATCTTCAACGACCGCGGATCTGCCATGCGCTCTGTGATTTGCGCGACGAGCATCATACTTTATCTCTTACCAAAGGCACTCGCTAGCTGATAAAGGGGCCATGGCGCACGTTGCCCCAGTCTACTGTACCGATCGAAGCTCGGCCTTCCTATACTGTAGTAGCATCGCGGTGCGCCTAGCAGGGTGTTCAGCCGCTTGTACGAAGCGGACATCGTCCACTCGGCACCACGACTGCGCTGCTACCGAGCAGTTATTGCCAACCGAATAAACTTACGGAAAACAAAAGCAATGCCTCAACCTCTTTTACGAGACCAGTACTGGGCAAAAGTGCACCCTTCGCTCGATCCGGCTGCATTGCTGGTACGTTGACCCAGTTTCGCCGGCTCCGGACGCCGCCATGAGCGATCCACATAAGTGTCATCAGGAAGGCAAAATCAATCAACAGAAGCTGTGCATAGCGTCAGCTTTTGCACTTGCGAGGCAGACGGTAAACGCATTGCCTTAGCGGACGACTACGTCAATCTCACCCGAGTTGCGTGCACGTAGCCAGTGCTGGATTCGCCAAGGTTGATGCTCGGCCGGCGTGTTTTCAACCAATCCGATCCTATTCAAAACTTGATAAGCCAATCACCGACAGGGACGTGCTGGCAGATCGCAGCGGCATGGTCATTCACAGTGATAGGATTTGATGCGGGTTGTGATCGCGCTGACGGTCAGCGCTACGGCGCACCAGAAGCGGGCGCCTGAAAACATGGCGCCGCCGTCTCTCTACAAAGTGTGCGCAGCTCCAGGCGATTGCACCGGGGGATCGGTCTGCGCGCCCGTTGTCGGTGGCGTGTACTAGTACTCGGTGTGCCAAATGAGAGCCTCATCGACCAGCCGCAAAGTCTCGGACGCCGAGGCGCGCTGGGTCCTTCTTCCTGACATGAAGATCGAACGTGGCCCACTCGGTGGTCCCGAACCCTCGGTGCTTGTTGACCAATGCAAGAAGAAGTGCGAGGACGACCCAAAATGCAGCAGCATCTCGTTCCAGGCGACGACATGGCCCAACGGCGTGTGCACCCTCTACGACAGCACGCCCTCGCTCACGCCAGCCACTGCAACGTATTCTGCCATTCCGTACCCGGCCAAGTACACGTGTACGCTCGGCGAGTATACCGGACGTGACGTGAACAAGCCCAAAAGAGAGGTCGCCAAGTGCAGCCTTGAAAACTGCGCGCGCCGTGCCAGTCAAAATGCAGGCAGCAACGGCTTTGCGTGGGTGGCACAGACAGGCACATGTGTTCTCAAGTCGATCCCAGAGCCCGCGAGAGTGAGGAACACGGACCGCGCGACGCTCACGTGCAAGCAATCCGCAAACTCATGAAGTGCGGAGGACCCCATTACTTTCACACCAAGAGCAGTCGACGCTTGAGAGTAGCGTGAACACTGTAAAGATGTATGACACGCGACAACTGGCTCACATACGAGGTGTTAACGCCGTTGCGTGTCTCCTCCAGGTTGACAGGCACCAAACTGACGAGCAAGAGCCCTCCTTTGCTAGAAACATCAGTGTCACGGCCGATAGCGTACATAGCACTTGGCAAAGAAGATGAAGCGTGTCGACCATACATCGTGTTCATCAATTGAGCCTTTGTATGCAAACGCTTAAAACAATGACAAAATGATAACAATAGGATAGCTAAAGTGTAGTACAATTGTAGTGGTTATTGGCAGAAGACTAGGCGAGCGATGCGGCGACAATGACCTCGCGAGCAGCCTTGGCTACGATGGCCGCCGCGCGGGCCTCATCTGTGCTGAGCGTTGCGTGGCCAACAAAGTCGATGACGAGCTCTTGGACGACAGTGGGCACGCGACCGAGTGGCGTTGCGTTGACAAGATCGAGAAGCCAGGCGCGTTGTTGCGGTGGGACGTCGGCCGTCGACAAGATGGCGTTGTCGATCATTTCGCCCTCTCTCGCAAAGCAACTGATGGCTTTGGCGGTCGTTCCGCTCGGACGCACGAAGCCCCAGAAGAGGAGCTTTGCGACGCCTTCACGCGAGGAGTCAGCGGAATGAAGATGAAGGCGGTACGCGGCCGAGCTCCGAATCAGCAGGAGACGTCCTGGTCGCAAGGTCACAAACCCCGTGTCTTGGCTCACGCGCCCAGGGACCTTGTCGCTGAGAAGCACCTACATACATCCGTTGCTCATCTCAAAACATCATGTGTCGTCGTACCTCGATCGCAGGATTGCGCTTGTGCGGGCCAAAGTCGACATATTTATACGTCTCTCGGAACTCGATCCGCAGCGAGACGTTGTCTGCACCGTGTAGAATAACGGCGGTGAAATCAATGGCTTCGTTGACAGCGCCCGACCCACGCCGCCACACCGTCGTCATCGTCGGTGCCTCGGGCGTCACGCGGAGACACTGCACGTGGCAGAGCACCTGGTGCGACTGGGGCTTGCTCGGAAGCTGCCAGTTACGGCCGTCGTCGTCAAAATGTGGCGCATAGCCCTTCCAGAACCGTTGAGCACACTCAAGCGTCGGTGGTGCTGGCTGCAACTGGCTCGTGATGGGTCCCTGCGCCTTCTTGAAGGCCCGCAACGTCTTTTGCAAAACAGGCGCCGACGGGTCGAGACCATGGTGCTGGAGGTACGCATCCCGGAGCAGTCGTAGCTCGTTCTCGTGGCCGCCACCGCGTTCAATGCGCCGGATGTCTTTGCGTGGGACCCACCGTGCGGCATCCAGCAGCGGTAGCACCGTCGATAGTGTCTTGGCGAGCACCGTATAGAGCGCCGACTGCGACGGATGGATGTTGTTGACGTAGCTCTCCAGCGTCACTTGGCGCGAGGACGGGTCCCACGTCACCGGCGTCGGCAGCATCTGCAGGTGCGGGCACACGGCGTCTGCAAGCGCCATCGACGAAGGCGTCTTATGGCGGATGATGGCGCTCGAAGAGATTCCCTCTTGCATGTTGTGCGGGTGGACGCTGAAGCGAGATTGGCCATACACTGCGCCGTACATGGCTGGATCGACGACCTCCAAGACGTTGTCAGCCCAGGACGCGGCAGCTTCGAGCGGCGCCAGATGATGGCCGAGCGACGAGAGCAAGTCGACCGAGAGCGCGTCGTCGGCGTGGTACACACCGCGGGTCGTGTTGGGCACGAGGCCAAGGGGACGCACAACCGTATCGCGAATGAGTTGGAGCTCGCCATGGATGACGGCAGTATCGTCCATGAAGGCACCAGGCGGGAGGGTCGGCAGAGCCTCCTTCTTCCACCAGAACGGCTCGTCGAGGAGCGTGCAGAGAGCTGCCATGTACTCGAGCTCGAGCTTGGCATAGGCTATCGCACGACCCGGTGCATAACACCACACGTCACAAGCAAGTGGTGAGTGGATCGAATCCTCGACACACGGCTGCCAAAAGATTTTGTGTAGCGGTGGCGCCGGTGCTGCAGCAAAGAAGGTACGAGCCAAGTCTCTGGCAAGACCACGCAGACCTCTGTTTGCAACAGACTCGAAGAGTGGCGCGGACTACAGACAGAGTGAGTTCGTGGTATCAATGCAGATTGCGGCGTACGTAGCCAGGAATGTCGCAGTTGGCCGTGTGCGGCAGCAGAATGCGTGCCGAGGTCTCTTCTCGCAGTTCGCAGGCACCGAGCAGTGGGGGACGACCGTACTAATACGTCCAGCATTTGATATGTAACAGTAGTCCTAGCATGTGTGTTTGTACCTGGTCGCGCTGGTTGGGGTCTGCGCCCAGTTCCAACAACACCGCCACAAAGTCGGGGTTGCGGACCGCGTAGTGAAGAAAGCACTAGCAGGCGAATGTGATCGCACTCGGTGGCTATACGGTAACCTTACCTCGGACTTGAGGTCGACCTTGGACGCTAGTAGCGCCACGTTGGAAGCGCTCTTGGCTTCAAGTGCCATCTTGAACGCCTCGACGTAGTACTAGCAGAGATGTTGCATGAGCCAAAATGGTCGGAGGAGCTGCAATCACAGGTTGTAGTCACCTCTGGCGGCTGGACGCTCGCATGGTGCAGCATTTGCTGAAGCAGTGCGGTGTCGAGGTTTTTGTTGATGGCCTGGCTTAGCGGCGCCATATCGACGCACGCCTTGGTCGAATACTTCAATGACGCGCGAAAGTGGGGAATCGAAGTCGCGTAGTCGATAAAGTTGATGTCGGCCACTGGTGCTAGAAGCTCGACGGCCTCCCGCGATTGCTTTGCGAGAGCATAATACAGAAGCGGCATAATGCTCGTCTACGCCGTGTCCAGTACGTCATTTGATGGGATATGCATTCTGTACCTCGTCTTGCTTGTTAGGATTGCCGCCTTGTTCAAGGTACAGCTGCAAGTACGGAATATTGGTGACCATCGATTCGTTGTGCTATATCCACAACAGTCAGTGCCACGTCAGCCAGACAGAGAGATACGACGCACAAGCGGAGGCATGTCGGCGAAGCGCGCTCCATGGGCCAAGAAGAGCCGCACGCGGTCCAACTTGATGTCGGACCAGCCCACTTGGCAGAACCCAGACTTCGTACGATGAGAACCGAAACTGCAGGCAAGGTAATACCTTCATGGCATCTTGGATGTTGGCCCCTGCGGCGATGAGAGCAGGGATGAGCGCGTTCGCCAAATCGTCCGAATCGCTCTTGCTTACAGCGTAGAGTGGCGAATGGTTATGCTGCACAGGATGAAAAGGGGGTTGTACATTCACTGCATGGAGTCGAGCGTCGTCATACCCTGAAAACTTCGTTGACGTCCGCGCCGGCCGCAATGAGCTGCTGTGCCATATCAATTCTGCGATAGAAAATGGCGTCATGGAGAGGACTCGACCCATTCTACACCCCAATTTGTTGCTCGCAGTACACTCGAGTATTCGTACCTGGTCGCGTGTGTTGACGAGTGCACCGTGCTTGACGAGGCAGTCGACACTGGCGCGATCATCGTGGGCCGCCGCGACCGCCAGTGCCGTGCTACCCATCTACATGGCAAACCGACACAGGTGAGGTGAGAACCGTGTTGGACGTCTTGGAACAGTACCCGATTGCGAACGTTGATGTCGAGTGCGCGCGATGCGATCTCGTCGAGGACCGTCACGTTGCCGGCCATGGCGGCCACATGCAGAGGGGTGCCGCCAAGCTAGATTGCAACAACGTCGAAATGTGCTCTTTGCCAAGAAATGAGGTACATACGTCGTCGAGCTTCGCGTCAACGTCAAGGTCCTGAGGGATTGTGCCGTTGCGGAATCCCTCGAGCAGTGCCTGGTACGTGCTCTACAGAGTCGGTTGGACGCGATGAAAGACGAGGTTGAGATGGACCGTTGGCGCGGGGGCAAAAGGCGATGGCGCGAGGGCAAAAGGCGGTGGCGCTGATCGCGACGCACGCTTCACCATGTCTAGATGCGGCGAAATGTATTATGACGGCAGCGTCGTGGGTGCAGTGCTGGTATAGACGAGACCTGATGGCAAATCTTATGGCAGCTCACGATGATGGCGCGTGTGAAGGTCGTTTGCTTGGATGATGGTTTCTCACGCACCGTTGTCCAATCACCAGCTGAGTCGCACCCATGATACAGACTTCCAAGCAACGGCGTAGTATCAATAAAACTTGTTGTGTCACAGAATCCCACGGCCCACACCTCCTGTATGACGCCATTTATGAAGCGGCCAACGCTAGCTTCCGCGCATTTCCTCGATATTGCGACGCCGTCGCGCTCTACAAGCGCTGTAAGAGTGTGCCGCTGAGTGAGATCGTCGCCCGCCAACGCTGGCGCCTGCTGGGCCACGTGCTGCGCCTGAAGGAAGGCGTCCCTGCCAACATTGCCGCCGCCCGCTTCTTTGCCGATGCGAAAGACGAGCTTCTTGTCAGGCGGTGTATTACCGGGATTACCACTATGGGTTTTCTTTTCTATGTGGTCCATCGTCAAGCTACTTGATCGACCAGCAGCGTCCGCGGTCGTGAGCCAGACCCGTGCTGCGGAGTTCCACTTGGATGCGACCGTTGGCCGACCTGGAGCTGCAGCACCCGAAGGTACACAGGGGATGCTCACTTGAACTCGCGGGCTGATGGAAGTCGTTGGCTTGGCGACCGACGCGAAATGTCGGGTGGTCTGATGTTGATGAAGGTTGATTGCTCGTGGTGCCGACACTGGTCGAGTTGTTTGTTTTGGCGTCTAGGTCGGTCGTCGTACATGAAAGTGTTTCGTTTTGGCGCTGGGCACGTTGACTTGTTTTAGTTTGGCGGCGTGGCGCGTTGGATATGATTTCTTGTTTGGGTCGATGTCTTGGTTTTCGGGGTCGGATGATATGGATCTTGATTCTGAAGGTTGATGGCTGATGGCGTTGGCGGTGGCGGCGGCTGGCTGATTTGTGCTCTGTGCTCTTTGCTCTGTGCTCTGTGCTCGGTGCTCATGTTGGTTCTGTATTCGATCTGATGTTGGTTGTGGTCCCCCTGACCGTTGTTTTTGTTGTTGGCTGGAGCATGTCGTCGTCTTTCTCGGATACGTCGTCTTGTACAGCGTGGCGATGAGTTCCTCATCGCTCAGCGTCGCTTGGTCT